TTTGATTTCAGATCACATAGATGAAATATTCATTCCTTATATACCCGATAGTCTTTGTTCAGTTATTAGAGGTGATAATATTCAGTTAATTACTTATATACCTATCAATGATGTGGGGGTGTATGTATGTATATGTGTGTGTGTGTGTGTGTGCGCGAGCGCAAAGTTTTGATCCCTTTGTTCTTACATAGGAACCCAGCCAGCATTTGAAATGTGTATCTCATTTTCAACTGAAAAATCCCATCTCATTTTCCAGGAAGTCTGCTGTGGTGGCTAAAAGTTCAGACTCTGCATTGCAAACAAATTTCAAAGCCAGTGAGTTTTGTAGCAAGATCCATATTCTTACTTTTTTTATCCAAGGAATAGAACTGATAATGTTTATCTCATAGGGTTATTGAAAAAAATTAAATAAGGTAATAGCATTTTTGTTATCTTATATATCCTAAGAACCTAGGGCAGTGCTTGGAACATCAACATTGCTCAACAAATATTTGTTAAATATATAATATCCTGATTCACTCTGATACTGGGAAGAATTTCACCCATCATCCTAGAAAATTGTCTGGATTTCTGCTTCTCATCTTGCAAACAATATCACTAAATGATCCTCAAAAGTTATACAATGTGTCCTCCTGTCCCAACATGACTTCATTCCAAACTGCCAAAGACAAGTGCCCTTCTTATCCTTAAAACCTTCCTGAGGAGGAGGTTGCCATATTTTCCCAGAACTCTTTCTCTCTCTGCTTCAGCAACTACCTTTCTCATTCCCTTCTCCACCTCTGTCACTTACCCACTTTCTTTTAACTGCTCTGTACTTACTGATTTTTTCCCTCCAATTTGTTCATTTTGAAGGTCAGTCCTTGGGTTTCGTTCTCATAAACCAGTGGGAGTTGTTGGATGCTAGAAGCCAGCCTATAGCCATGAACATCTCATCCCACAAGCTACATAAAGGCCAGATCAAACCATCTATCATCTGAAGGTAAGACTGGGTTCCCCTTAGAAGTGGTTCTCTCAATTAGTATTATCATCTTTAGCAACATTCAAGAATAGGTCCTATCTATCTTGGTGGGGGGAAAAATTCACGGGTAAAATGATGAATATAGGAAATTATTCTTTCTTTTACTTTAATAGAAAACATTTCTTGTTCATGTAAATTAGTTAAAATGGCCAAAAATGCATTTAAAATTTTAATTCTTCTCTCATTTTTAGATGTCTAGGATAGTATTAACACCTTAATTAGGACATCTTTAGTTGCTTAAACCTGGTTTTAACAACATCCATATTTTCCTATTCTAATAGACCCAAAGAACCAAAATGAAAACTTTACTTTGTGGATAGACTTTTCTGTCCTTAGGCCTGACTTGTTTATTTGGTAGTAAAACAATGCAAAATACTACTAATAAAGATATTCTAATTGTATGGGAAGAGAGTTATGAAAAAAAATGCTACAGGATTTTCATCTGATTAAATGTTGCTTTCTGGCATGTGATATATAAATGAAAAATTGTATACAAATATACATTTCTCAGGTTGCATTTTTTGTTGACTTGAAAAGATTTATTTAAATAATATTCAAGTTATTTTCTTTTAACTGGATGCCCCTCAATTTTATGACTTTCACAAACAGAAAAATGGTTGTTTGATACCTAAATATGCAATAGAGAGACAATCTTAAAAAAAGGCAGGCTCACAAAAGAAAGTATGAATTTTGTTCAATTTGATATTCTGGTGCTTGCTTTGCTGACCTAGAAAATTACAGTGACAGTGAAACAATTCTGCAGTGAGTTCACTAGAGAAGGCTAAATATGACCAGGAAAAGTCTCCAACTCATTCTACTCATTCTACCACTATAAAAAGATGTGTATCCATGGGAACCACAATCCCTAACAGGGAAGTGTGGATTTGACACCAAGAAAGGTAAGAATGTTTTCTGGAATGGGGGAAAAAAAACAAAACAAAACAAAACAATGGATAATGCCATTGGGATTTTAAATTAACAATTTTAACTAGAATGCTATTAATCAATTGATATATGGGATGGACTCCTAAAAGGTGATGAGAGATTTTTGGTGAATGGACTAGGAGGAAAGCACATTATTAGCAGGTAATTGACTGGGATGAACATGCCTGACTGTCATTCTGGTAGCAATCTGTTAGCAGTTAATAGGAAGCTACAAGCTCAAGGATGATGAGATGCAAAGACCACCCTAAAAGTAAAGGTATAGGAAGCCACTGGAAATACCTCTATTGTTAAATGTTAGTCTTTTCAGCTGCTCATTAAAATTTGAGGAGCACTGATTATTAGATTTGAGGCCCAAATTGGGTACTTAGCTGTGTGTTCCCAATTTTGTCTTGTTTTAATGTGACTTGAAAACTGACCTCCTTTGAAGCTGTTAGTGTGCAACAATGTCAGCCTGATGAAGCAGGCCTTTCTGTTTTAGTCGTGGGGGTACTTACCCTTCATACAGAAGGAATTTTATGGGGAACATGTATATCAACATTGACAAATTAAGAGATTTGCAAAAATCAGAGGCAGTTTTAAGAATATTGCATTTTTAAGAATATTGCATCTAATAAATTCACAGTTTTCATTCACATCATAAGACAAGTACAAAGGGAATAATGAACAAATTTCCTTAGAAATTTAGTGTTTGAATTTTTTCCAGACTCATTTATTGGGTCCATTAGAAAGTAAGAAATATTTTAATTTATTAATTTCCACTTGTGATAAGTATACTGGAAAGTTTTATATTTATCACCTTTCCAATTTGATGAAAACCTTCCAGTTTTTCAATTAAAAATTCTTTAGTAGATTATAATTTCACAGACCTTTGCTACCTTCTGATTTCAGTTCAATGTTTGCCAGTGATGCTGGTGGCTAATCAGGTTGGAACTGTCATTCTAAGTGATATATACCCTCTCCTCCCTCTCAAAGATTTTTTTCCTACATAAATTGATTTCACTAAAGGAAAAAGGTGAGTTTTGATTAGCAAGATAAAGCAAAGGTATCATTAGAAGAAGAACAAATCTCTGTGATGTGATTTTAAAAGGTGCATAGATGGGCAATCACCATCATTAGGAAATTTCAGTCATTCCCCTACAGAAGAAAAGAGCTCAGTTATAAATATATACACCACCTTCATATGTATTGATTAGATTCATTTAACTATGTTTTCTAATGTGAGGATTTGTTAATATATTTGCTGCTAATTTTGCTTATAAGTATTATACTATTAGCAGGCTTGAATTGAATTAGATTGTGAGATGCTGCACACTGCGGGAATTGAGTCAGGTGGACAGATGTCTTTCTCAGCTCTGCAAATCTTGTTCTTATTGCATCTTTGATTACTGCAGCAGGAATTACTCCTGGGACATTCTCCAAGGTAATTTTTTTTAATTATTAAGTTTTCCTTAATTGTAGTTGTTTCCTTTAAGCTAAACTGGCAATCCATCTACTTTGAAGAGGGGGACTTTTTCACATCTCATTTTGGGTAACGAATCATTTTTTAAAGCTAGATACAGAGGTTATTTGATAATCATATAATTTCAAGTTGTTTATGTTGTTTTGGCAGCCAGTGCTGCATCCTAAACTCAAACCCATGGAAAGCTGGTGTAGAAGCAGACAAATACTAGATTTTCTAAACAAGACTCATTATTCTTGAGTGTGTGGCTTTAGGAGCTAAGATATACTAGTTTGGTAATTTTTAAATAAATTATTTTCTCACATCTACCTGAGAGAGTGTGATAGATGTAACTCTTGTAACATCCTCTTAGAACAGAAAATGGTGGCAGCATTTCAACAAAGAAATCCCCTGTTTTGCCTCAATTAGCTAGCTAGTTTTGGAAAACAATTATTTGGATTCTCTGATTCCTTTATGCACTGCTTTTTCTTTTAGGGAGTAGACTCTGTTCAGAATAATTATTGTGGGCCAGTGCATCCTCAGTTTTAACTATGCATACTGGCCCACAGGAAGAAGTTTATAGTTTTTGCTCTTAGAAAGTTTACCTACTTAAGCCCAGGAAACCAAGGATTGTGGAAGAAAAACATAATATATTACAATGAAAATTTTCATTTTCTTCATAATTTATAATGACCGATTAAATGCCTTCTCCAGACCATTTGCTCAACAGCATTCATATCATGCTCTCAACTTTTATGTATCCTTATGTTTCACACATTCTTTTACCCAAACTAGTCCTCCTATCATCAACTGAAGTTGTATATTTAAACTTTACATTGTCAAACTATGATGACATGGTTGTTGAAAAAATTCATTAAAGGCGATTTATTACAAAGTGAAGTCATAATTTTGGTATAATTTTGATAGAGTAGAATAGGAAATGCATGTTTGAAATCCTGTGAATGGGAAATCTATGCATGAAAAAAGGTAAAACTGAAAGTTGACTCCTCCAAAGAGAGATAGGAGTAGAGAGAGAGAAGCAATGCACTCATCTCTGAAACTGTTACAACATCCATTATGAACTCAACTAGGAATGAACAATGATGGTTATAAGTGACCTGAATGACTTTAATTTTAAAAAATTAACTTTTATAATATTAGTTGTTTCATAAATGATCAAGATAGACATTGAAAATCCAGAAGTAGCTTGACTGCCCATACCCGATTAGTTTCTGGTGGATATTAGTCCAAACAGTTGACAGTAGCTACAAATATCTAGAAAATTATTTTTTTTCCTCTCTGTTGAAGGAATTACACATCTGCCAGGTTAGATGAGATAAATACATATATAGAGATTAAATTGGAAAGTATTTTTATGAAATTTTTTGTTTGCATTGAAAACCAAGTCAAGAGCTTATGTCAATGTTTTAATTCAAAGGGTGCATTTAATCGAAGAGAGTGAGTATACTTAACCTATTACAGATGAACTTGAGAAATGAATGTAAGATATTCTGTGAAAGGAAAGGCTGAATGACACCTGGATATTTCATTCATTCAATAAGCATATGTTGGCCATACAGAAATGACAATGACAAGATCCCAAATATATGTTGCTCTTGTGGGTTAGGGTTTCAGTGTTTTACATTATTTGTGGGTTAAATTCTACGTTAGTAAACTTACAGAACTAATCAAGTGTGAAAATAAAGGAGTGTGTTTAGCCAGGACTTTGTAATATACACACTAGAGTAGAACAGTGGTTTCAGTAGACTTGTCTTCCTCTGAATTCACTCATGACTTGCACTGGGTGGATTTTTTTCTTTGCTGAGCCTCGTCTGACAGCTGCATAAGTTTCCTCTGGTTTCTCTCTTTTAATCAAGGGCTTTTTTGCAGGAGCCTTCATTCTCCACATCACAACTGGGTGCCGGGGCCCAGTGGGACTCTGAATTCGGATGATCTTGGTTGAGGCAATGTAAGACATTTTCACTGTTTGCACTACAGCATTCATTAAATTTTTGGCTGCTTGGATCAGGGAGGTGACACTGTCCAACTGTAGGGGGAAAAAAAAGCTATTATTTGAGAACATAATCAGGAATTTAAAGAGATTTAATCTTGCAGAAAGTGAAATGCGTGACACTTGTTTTTATCCCAGAAATGACAGTTATTTTATCTCAGAAATGAATGAGTTAATTCATGTTTTATGTATCTGTGTAAATTATCACATCAATCTATGTTAATCATTTAGTTATCCATCTGATGCATAAATAGATCCATATTCTAAGATGATATCTTAGGTTAATTTTTATTCTTGGTTTTCAGTGAACTCTATAGCTTCTATATCATATCATAAAGACTAGATGGTTACAGCTTTCTTTGTCATGGCTCTCCATTTATCCAGGGTTAATGTTGGCCCCTTGTATAAGAGATGACTATCTACAATAAAAGCTCTATCATGTATAAGTAAGTTAGTAAGAACAACTGAAAAGTCTTAGGGAATTCATTGTCTAAGATAAATAATATATACATATACATACATGCATGTAAACCACTAATTTCCATGAATATTTCCCAAATAATTCCACCTAAAAGAGTCTTTTAAACACAGAATGATTAATCTATCATGCAGAATATTAAAATAGATAAAACCAAGGCCTTATAGTCAAATCTGGTTTAAATTCCAGGACTGCCATTTAGTAATATAAACAAATCATTTAATTAACTTCATTCTAGCTTTCTCAGATATTAAATAGGAAAGAAGTGTTTATTAAAGTTAAATAACATATATAAATAACTTCATAGAGTGACTGTCAGTTATTAAATATTTCCTTTGTTTCTTGTGAAGGTTGAGAAAATTGCTTAATCATATACTAGTGAAATTTCTAAAAGAAACTTTTCCCACATAACTCTATTTTGTAACTGTTTTGCTTTCTGGGTTGTTCACAAAAACAGTCTCTGGACAAAATGAGGTGATATTCCTAGACTCTTGCAAAATACTTTAGGGCTAGCCAAGCTGGTGTGTTTTTATATAACTAGTGCTTCCTCCATCATTTTAGTTTGGCAGATTGTCATTCGCAGCCGATTCACACAGGAAGATGTGCCTCTAGCGTCACCTCCGTGATGTGTGCTGTCAGGGTTGAGGCCCAAACAGCGGCTCTGTAGATACTGAAATCCATCAGCAGCTGTCTGGCCTAAGTACTCTACCTTTGCGGTTCAGGGAGTCTCATCTCACATACAGAATAAATGAGTGAAGCAAAGTAGTAAGCTGAGGTTATGTGCCTGGGGCAGTGGTCTAGCTGGCTGCTTTCATGGGAGAAAATTTAATTAGCTCCATTATATGCCTAGCCTGAAATCCTTGAAAAGGTAACACCAAACAATATGTAATTTGAGAGGCAGTGATACTTGGAAATTAAACTCTAAATCTTTTTACTTATTGAAGCCAGGAATGTAAAATCTGTGCATGTGGCAGGAATGACATTTTTTTTTTTTATCGAAAATTAAATAAGATTTCATGAAGCACTCACACTCAAATGTTTTTTTTCTGTATTTCAGAAAACATTTAGAACTTCTGAATCTGTACACAACTTTAAATAAAAAAACAACTAGTCTTTGAATAGAATAATACACTTTGTTATTAGGGTTACTCTATGGACACATTGCAGGCTAAAATCTGTTGTTTAATAATTAGCAATTTTCATTAAAGGCCTCCTGCAGCTAGTTAGATTCTGAAAGTCATTTTCAATCTCACCATAGGAAGAAAAAAGTTTTTCTAAATGACAAATGAACATGAATAGTAATGAGGATCCTTGGTAATTTTCTCCTTCAAACATGAAACTCTTTGGTTTATTCCAAGGGCTCTGTGCTATCATTAAGTCTTCCATAGAAGGTCCTAGTGACCTTCTGTCATTCAAGATTTCACCAGGGGCTCTGGTCTTCCCACCCTGAAACTTACATTTTCTCCTTTTGACTCTGTAATCTTGTCATGTATAGATTGTATTTATTTTCTTTTAATTTTTCCATATGAGTGGGTTTTATATATAACCTATTCTTGAAGGATGGCGAAATTAAACTTGTGCCTTAAAATGTGGAAATCAACTTGTCTTCTTCCCTCACTGATTCAGCAAAGCTTTGTCTGTACCATTGTGATCTCTTATGCTGGCCTCTGACAATTTATTTTAAAATCCTAAGTGACTGTAGTAGGATTTCTCCTCCATCAGGCTGAAAAAAACACAGGACAAATCATCCCCCTAGGAGAGCATGAAGACTAGTTTTGCAGACAGATTAGGACAATTGCTGAAAGAATACTGTTATTTCATGAGGAAAGCTCGTGAGACATTCTATGAGGATTTTTGATGTCCAAGAGCTATATGCATTAAGATGCCTGCCTTTCTGCTATGAGTCACATCACAGGGCACACAAGCAAGCGCACAAACCAGCCAAGCACACGGTAGGAAATTTTGTTTGAGGTCCTAGCAGTGCCTTAGGCATACTCATAGAGAATAACTGCACAACTTCATGTCTGCAAAAGAAAAAAGTATTATAAGCCCTCTTACCAGGCTTACTTTAATGAAAAATCCTCCAAGGGAAGAATTCAAAATAATTCTCTTTGTGAAAACAAAGCATATTTGAGTAGGGTAATGCATCACTTTGGGTTTTCTGTGTCCAACTTAACAAAATTTTCTGAATTTCACAAATGTACCTGTGCAAATGAGAATGTTATTTTATTTTAAAGGCTTGGTGGAGTAAACCATTCAGACTATAAAGCTCAAAAATTCTCTACCATTACAAATAACTTTCATCAACTGTAAACACTTCTAGACAAATGTAACCTGAAATATGTGCCATAAAAGGAGCTGTTTTTCCTAACATTTGGTAACACTCTTCTCTGATCTAGATGAAGTGTTTTTGATCAAGGTATCAACTGAGAAACAAAACAGCTTCTAAGGCCCTCAAACCTCCTATGGTTGTATGTAAGTATTTGCATGCAAGTACATATAAGCAGGTTCCTGTTGCCTTCTTTCCATAAAAGTGGATGGTGTTTAAAAAAATAAGTTATCAAAGAGGCTTTTGACCTACATTAAAAGCCTCTGATCTATATAAATAGACATACCTATATTCCAACCATAGTAAATAGGAACATAGCCACTCTTCATATTGTAGTGACTTGTGCTTATTCTTACTACACTGGTCTGGGTTCAAAATAAATGAACTTAATTGATCTATTAATATCACAATAAGATCCTCAATATTGTCCATGTCCAAAAGTAAGCTGGACACAGTTCATAAATTCTGCCTTTTTTTTTTTTTTTTTTTTGAGGATCTAGTTGAATACAGAGATTATGCCCAGTATCCGCTTTTGCTAACTGCAACGATGTATTTTGTAAATAATCAAAATTTAGCATATCTAAATAGAGTCCTTCTCAATATTATCATCCTGTAGGAATCTTAATTTTATTGTAATGTCTCTTTTGTGCTTTGTGGCATATACTCCATGATCTCAGGTAAACTACAGTACAATTCTTCCCAGATCTAAGGATGCTTTCAGGCAAAAGGCTTGGTTCAACTTAGAAATGTATCTGCAAGTCTTTGTTGTGGAAAAGGAGTTTAACAACAACATAAGATATGTTTTTTTTTTCCTCATAAAAGTGCCAAAATTTTTTACAAAGCCCAAAGTTAAATACCTGTAAATGTAAGTCCTCCACAAATCCATCAGGGTGGAATGTTTGTTGGCAAATCCTTGTTCAGATCTTACTGTAGTTATTGATAGTTACAACAAATATACAAGAAAGACATGCTAGTCCCTCCTTCCTTCAATTGCTTACATTCGTCATCCATGTTCTGTCAGAACACCAGAATGCATTGTCCTTTACTACTCTAACTCCCCACATTCTGGATACGAGGTCTTTATCAGAAATGTGTTTTGCCTGAGGTCTCTAAGCTGCACTCCACTGATGTGTGGCCCATCCCTTGCACATGGGCTGTCACCTGGGGAAGGCACAGTTAGCTCCCCATCCCTTGTGTGAATTGCCATGGCAACTACTGCTGCTAGACTTCCTGTTGTTGCCTGGAAAAATATACTTCCTGTCCTATAACCTTCTAGGTAAACTGGTGCCAATGTAGCCTATGAATTCTCATGAGTCTCAATGTTTACCTGAATTTATACACACCCAGTGGATGTTGCACCTGCACCAAAGCAATCCTTGAAAGGCAAATGTGTGTGGTTTGGCTCCAAGTATAATAACAGCTTATAATAGTTGCTAATATTTATTGTGTGCTTCCTATGTGTTTGTACCGTTCTAAATAGTTGACATCAAATTAACTCAGTAATACTATGAGGTAAGTACCATAATTATCTCCATTTTAAAGATGAGGAAACAAAGGAACTAGAAGGTTTCGTAGCTTTCTAAAGGTGATACAGCTATTAAATGGAAGACCTGGAATTTGAGCCAAAGCAGTCTTGTTCAAATGCCTGGTACTTTTACCTATTATACAACCCTGCCTCTTAGTAATATGTCACTTGCAACATGTATTTATTTTCAGATATAGCATGGTTGAAGAAACTGTACCTATACAATGTATAAAATTTTGAAAAATGCTATCTAATAACTTTTTTAGAAAGGTTATAGAATTTTTACAATTATAGAATTTATAGAATTTTTGTATTAAGAAAAATGAGAGTATCTTACCTGTAAGGTATTTTTTAGGATGGTGGTTTGATTGTGTTTATGCTATCATTTTCCAAGCAGCATTTTATTGAAATAGCAAATAGAAATACTGAGTCATCCTCATAAGTTCCAAGCAGTTTAAAGACTTTCAGTGTCACTCTCAATGAACATATCAGTAAGGCAAAGTTAAACCATAAACAAATCATATTATAGCTTCTAGGACATGGAATTATATAACATTTATTTCACATTTAAAATGCAAATATAAAACAAACTTTTTTTCTGATTATCAAACAAAATAAAATTTGTTTGCCCTGGTTTTGAAATAGAAACCGAGATCTGGTCCCCTGATCTTGGGGTTTCTATTTAACCCTTAGTTACTTATAAA